CTGTCTCCAACCACAGCATGTTGTCCATTAAAGTGCTGTTTACTTTTCATTCTCTTTCTCTACACATGTGTGTCCTGAGAACAGGTATCATATCTGGTTCTACTATGCACACCTTGGGCTTGGCGCCGGGCACAGAGCAGGCAAGGGAATGAAAGCAGAGAGACGGGAAAGCGGCCAGGCCTTCAACCCCTGCGTAATCACGCTGGCTCTCAGGCCAGCAGGCCGGGAAAGCGCTCCAGAGCTGGCCTTCCCCAGCGATAAGACCCAGATGGCCCACACTGCACAGGCAAGCAGGCGCTCAAAAGAGAGCATTTTCCATGATACTAAGGGAAGCTTCTAAGAAATATTTAAAAGCTAGCGAAAGGATAAAATACGCTACAGAACAAATCTACAAACTACTGAATAAAGCCAACTCTAAAAACAGAAAAGCCAAGAAAATAGAAATATGATGGACGAGATTCTGTTAAATCTCCAGACGAACGCACAGCTGCCTGTGAAGAGTCCACAAGTCCAGATAAGCAGAGATGTAGACTGTTTTGAGATTCAGCTGTTTTGAATTCTTTACTGCTTATAGTTAAAAGCATGAATTAGCTCTAAATTCAAATCCCAGCTCTGCAATTTCCTAACCATATGCCTTTGGATTGCATATCCCCATCTGTAAAAATAGGGATACTAGTGCCCCACTCACAGGTTGACTGAGGAGAGGCAATAATATACATAAGTGCTTAGCACGTGCCTGACGCGTAGTAAGTGCTCAAGAATGCTCGCTGCCATCATTTGTTTCCTTACAGATGAAGAGCTCTGGGAATGATCGACATAGCCTTTCTGATAGATAAAGCCCTAATCTCCCACAGAAACCTGTCATAAATTCACCACTTTACAGAGAGTCGAGCTGAAGAAATTAGTATCAGTGAGACGTGTTACCGAAGAAGGCTGTGCAACTCCCTTGTGTAGATAATTTTTTAAAAATTGTAAAAGGCTGTCAGTCTGGCATAGTTTAAATGCAGTCTTATCAAGAGCAAGGGTGATATCATCAAGGACCTCAGAAAGTCTGGCACAGATCCAGCCTTCAAAGGATGTGGTGTAAAAGAATGT